CCGGGCAGTGACTGGAGTGGCAGCTCCGTAGCAGGAGGGTACTCTACACACTGTCATTACGGGCACAACCATACACCTTGAGGATTTGTTGTAAAATACTCAGGAGAATTAGAGAAAGTTGAGGTGGGCAAAACTGGAAAACGCTACAGCTGTAACATGGAGCGCGTGCTCCGTGAGTGAGCCTGTGTGTGTGCTCCCTATTTTCCACAAAAAGTTCCCTGGTTTTTGTTTACTTTTATGTAGGCTCATTCAGGTGTTCCAGAGTGTATCTGAATCAAGTTTTTAAAGAAATTATTCCCAGAGAAAAACAGAGAGGGACATGTCCTGTCCCTTTTTTTCCATTCCTCCATCCTGCCAGGATCTTGGGCACGCTTGCACATGCGCCGGGCGTGTTTTTCAAGTTGGGACTTGAACTGTGCAGGCAGCCATGGGGAATCTGGCTCTCTTAACCACCAGGCCAAGGGCTGATACTGAATCAATTTTTTTTAATGTTAAAATAGAAAGTAAGTTTAAATTTACCATCAACACAGATTTCAAAACCAGAAAGCAAAGTTATATATGGTATTCCGATTACGTAACTAAAAAAAAAAATCCCCTTAATAAAACCCAAACTTTATGGTATTTTTGGTTTGCATTTTTTTTAGGCAGGGTATGTTTTGATCTTACTGCCTTGGCCTCCCCTGCTGCTGGGGCTGTGAGCATAGCTTTCAGGGCGGGGCTGGGAATCGAACCAGGCTCCCATGTGGCTTCAGCCTGCTGAGCAGTGTGTTAACCAGGATGCACTACCACAGCGGGGCCATCACTCTCAGTTTTGTGTTAAACTATGTAGCATGCGTCATGTGGGTTGGCAGGGACTTCTTAGGTCTACACTGCCCGTTGTCTTTCTCTGCTTTTCCCATCATCAGCACGGATCCTGACATTCAGTAAGATGCTGGCTGCCGGTAGCTATAAACTATTTTATTTGTAAGTGACAGCGGCAAATGCATCCAGGCCCCTTTCCAACGCGGGGATT